GATCTCATAAGTTTGTAGTTCAACTAAGATGTTTCTGGATCACTAGCCTTGTTCTAGACTTGAAGTGTTGCAGCTTAAGTAACTAGAGAGTACGTTAAAGTTTCTCTAGTTGGCATGATAATTCTTACTCTGTGAAAGGCCCTGCAGCAAAAAGGAAGCTGAAGAATCATGAGGAAAAGGAGGCTACCTCACATTGGTAAACAAGATAGGCTTGAGAACTGAGTTCTGGCTTTGGGACTATTGACATTAAATGTCCTGTGTCCTTAAAATTAAGTTACTGCTTCTAACTGAAAGAGCGTGGTGGCGTATGCAAGCTCTCTGCTGCAAGTAGTCCCCACACCATTCTGACTCTGCAACTGTATCCAGAAGTTGTGCAGAAGAGGGTAGTTTGCTAGGCACAGAAACACCTGAAACACTCCAATGGGACAGCAGCTGAGTACTAGTGCTCAGGCACACTGTGTTTAATAACACAAGCATATTTGGTTTTTTTAGTCATATTCAAAATTTTGGTGCTTATTGATGATTCAACATTTCTGAGCTCACAGTGTCATTCTGTGGCTTTATTTGTCCTGGAAAAGTGTATTCATTTAAAATTAGGATTAAAATGGAGCTATTACTAACTGTATGTGCAGCTTAAGTTTTTGTTGTCAGTGGAATTCTAGAAAAAAAAATTTTGAGAGATCTTTGGAGATCATCTAGTCCAACCTCCTACTCAGAGCAGGTCTACTTGGCAATAAAAATTAGATCATTCTAACATTGGAGTGGTTGAACACCTAAGTTTCATAATGATGTCCTGTAGATTTTTTTTTTCTGCACTTTAAAATTAAAGTCTGTGTTTTTTATTTAGTTAGTTACTTCAATGTAAAGTAATTTTGCTTTGCATTTCTGTAGCTCACAGCTGGAGAGAACACCACGAAAAAACAGTCCAGATGAGGAACCTAATGTTATACTTCCACAAACTCCTGTTCGGTATGACTTTTTTTGTTCTTCTATTAGGGGCTTTCGTTCAACATCCTCATTCAAAATGTTCAAAGTTTGGTTTTGTTAAGTGGTGCTTAGAGTGTTCCTGGACACTTGAGGGGAGAAGTAAAAAACAAAGAAAAAGCTGTGTCCCTAAAGTGTTTTCAGGTGCTATGTGGACAGAGAAAAGTTGTTAAGGGGAGTCATTCTTAGTGCAGGGAAGCACTTTGTCCATGCCTTCTTTATCAATTCCTTTTTCTTACAATTTTCTGAAGATAAGAGAAGTTAAAATTCTCTATGATGGTTTGCTACATTTATTTTTGCAAATTAATATTTTTTAATTAAAAATACTTCTGTGGTGCTTATATTCTTCTGGAAGAATCAATTAGACTGTAGGCTTGTACACTCCCCGTAGGATTTTCTAAATCCCCGTGGCAGAAACCAATTGGTTTCTGGCCAAGAGAGCAGTAAGGTTCTGAAAAGCTCCTGTGTAAGCATAATGAAGGAAAATACACAACTGAGATAGATATTGATCAGTTTATGAAAGAGCTTTTAGTTGGCTACGGCTTCAGAAGGCTTTATATGATTGCTTTAGTGAGCATTTTTAATCTTAAGCTTCTAATCTTTACCTGGTAATGATGCTTTTTAGCCATTAAAAAAAAAAAAAGCTTGACTGTCGCTTCCCAGATCTATGTGCTATACTGGGAGCTGGACCATCTAACAAGACCCATGCCTAATAAGAAGGTTTCCAACAAATAAATCTCATTTCTCACAAGTAACTACCTAGCTGCTTGTTGCCATCCCTTTTGGGGTTAAACAGCATTTAAAAGAACGTCAATAACACTGTGAAAGGTGCTTGATAAGACTTCAGTAGCAAGAATTTTAATTAGTAACATCCAGGGGTGACATGCTCCCACTTTGTTAAAAATATAAAGTGTGCTGAAACCTTTCACATTGAGGCTGCTGTAGAGAAAGATTTAGATTCCCTCCATCAGGATGGGCCCTTCAAGCTTTGCAGAAGTGATACCAGTTAAGACAGTCCAAGTGGAGACCTCGTACTTGGTAGCAGTGAGTTTTGGCTACACAAGTGTTTTTTCTTAAAGCGCGGAGGTGTCACTAGATGGCAGTAAGCCTTTGATCACCAGCGCCGGGTGGAAAGGGCCGGATTAACTGTAAGTAGAGCCCCATACTGATTATGTTGAAAGCACCAGGTTTAGTACTTTGACTCCTCTCACGATGTTTCCTTTCTGGACTGAGGCATTTAGAGCCTGATCAAAAGCCTCCTGAAATTGGTGAGCGTCTAATTATTGATATCAGTAAACTCCATATGTCTGTGTAAAAAAAGGGTGGGTAAAATGGGTCCTATTCCAAAGCGTAATGGGAATGGATTGTGGTTTTATTTCATTAAATTTCTTTTTTGCTGTCCTTAACACTTTATTTAACCTACTAGTAAAGTTTTGGTAGAAGTGCTTTGACCAAAACCTTCCGGAAAGTAGATTAAAGAAAAGTTTCTTTAAAACCCATGTTCACTGAGTACGTATTCTTTTTCTGTCTTTATTTTTCTGAGTGATATGAATCCACTGGAGGTTAAAAGGCATTTCTGAGAGGATTTTAAAAAAATAGCTTGAAATTGGCAGTTTTGATACATACTGTAAGCTCCAAAAGTCGTCTTTAGAAACTGGAGTTCCGTAGATTCTTCTAGAGCCCTGGAAGAATCTCAGAGGCAGCATGAGTATAGGAAAGGCCATCCAGAGGAAGCATTTTTCTGGACAGAAGTAGTAGTGCAGACTTTGGCTTACGCAGATGCTGAAGGTAGCTGAGTAATACAGGAAGGAGGCCTGTTCTTCTGCATATCCTGCTGGAGATGCACCCTCTTTTCATCTAGTAGAGGCAGCGTGGTTATATCGCTGATCAGGAGAGAAGGGATGTTTAAAAGGGGCATTTAGATGGCTAAGCTTCCGCCTTTCTCTTTTTGGAGTCATTTCATTTACTGTTTTACGCAGTCCCTATGAGCTATTTTCAGATGACTAAAGTGCTGTAGAAACCGAATCTATTTATTTGCATTTAACCTTTTTTTCACTCTAAAATGGTGAGGCCATGGCTAAGCTAGAGATTCAGTTCTCAGTCTCCTGACTTACGCCTTTGCAGGGTTGATGTAAATGCAGTAACTCATCAAACTCAGTTTGTGCTGCTTTATTTTGTTTCTATGTATGAGTACCAATGAAGTGCAGAGCTTGAACTCTGGCAGAAAAACTTTTGCAAGTAAGTGAGAAATTGCTTTGCCTAGGGTTAAAATATGTGAGAAGGTAGCTTATTGCCAGAATGTTTTAGTGGAAACATTCATGTGGAAACACAAGTAGTTGTGGCATCACTATTTTTTTTCCTACTGTGTGCCTGTAAACCCAATTTTAGTAAGATCTTACATAAATACTTCAGTATTAAAATATGCTGAATTTAGTTAAAAAGTAGTTTGTACTTTTGATCTTCCGCTTTTAATCTGGACAAAGATATTTTAGTTCTACTTGATAAGACTAATACTAGTTTTCTTTCTCAGTGATATTGAAAAATTTCTTTAACTTACCCTTTTTACGATGCGTAATATGTCAAGAGTTAAGAAGCTTTTTATTTAGCATAGTTCTAATCTATCTGCAGGCACAAAAGGGAGAATTAGGATTTCAGGTAAAAATCGCTTTCCTATTGCTGATAAAAGGGACTGGAGATCGGCTGAGGTGTTAAGCTTTGAAGGGACTTTTTTATTCAAATCAAGGAGAAGGTAGAAAGCCCAGTGGCACAGGCATGCTGATAACTGTACCTCTAAAAAATACAAATTTTCAAAGGATCTGTGGAAAAAGTCTACTTTCTTGTGACTGCATATTCAGGAGCACTGCATTTAAATACATTTTAGTTAAGTTTCTGAAACAGTTGAATGAGACACACAGTCTGTCTCTTTTCACCAGTATTTGATATTATTTTTGTACAAAGGAGAAAGTTTTCTGTTAGGGAGTTGCTGCCTTTAAAGTAATGCTTTCAAATATAAGATTTTCAAATCTCACCATCTTTTTTTCCTTCAAAAGTGCTTGTTGGATAATGTTTGTTACTTAATCTGTATTCCTTTGTTTCTTTATCATTATGTAATTACAACCATTTAAGAATCAATGCAGTGGTTAAATGTTTTGAATTTATAATGGTTAACAAGGTGCAGCAGATTTTCCCAGCAGTTTGCCTGAATGAAGAATTAAATTATAAAATTTGTGTTTGTTGAAATTCTCTTTAATGTCTGGGAATGTCAAGTCAACTTGAATGTTTATTATACATTTTATTGTATTTTTGCAGAGCTGCAATGAATACTATTCAGCAATTGATGATGATTTTAAACTCGGCAACCGATAAACCATCCGATACTCTCATCTCGTATTTCAATGTAAGTGACTAGAAGAAATGATTATGAAAGACTCTCCAAATTACTGCTCAACTGATAGACATACAGAGCTGATGCATGTTTTCAGCTCCTTTATAAACTGTCATTTTTAAAGTGCATTTTAGTTAAGATGGTTTAAATGTATATTGTGCTTAAGCTAAAAAGCACTGGTATCTAATTGGTGTGTACTAGAACCATATAAGCACTTAAGTCTTTGTTTCTGCACAGAATATTAAGGTTTATTGGACAAAGGAGGGGAGATAGGCAGAGGAGGAGAATATGCCAGAGGAGGGATATCCAATAGCTGGATTCATCGATTTAGCTTGAAGGGCACAATTCCCATTAGTATAGTTGGTACTTCCCACATTTTTGGTTAGTTCCTGCTAAACTGAATGTTGGAAATCAGGTTTTAGTTGCTGGAAGTTGTTGAACATGAACAGTAATTCCCATCTCTTAAATACTCCACTCTTCCTCAGCTCACCAGCGTAAGTAAAAGAAATGCTACCAAGTGAAACAGGACTAATTTAATTAAATCATTTTAAAATGTATTTGAAGTAAAATATCCTTTCCTTGCTATTCCATCCCCTGCCTTCTTTTATTCTATCATATAGAACTGCACAGTGAACCCTAAAGAAAGTATCCTGAAAAGAGTGGAAAATCTTGGCCACATCTTCAAAAAGAAATTTGCTGAAGCAGTTGGACAAGGATGTGCTGAAATTGGCTCACAGGTAACTAGTATTTTGGCTCAGTATTACTAATTTGAACTCAGTGAGTTAATGTAAGACCTACCCTGGTAAAAAGTAACAATATTCATTACCACCTGAGGAACTAGATATGCCTTTTTTAATCCTCTGTGAAGACAATATTTAGTAAATGATTATTAGCTTATGTGGAGCAATAAGAAGTGGTGGGGGAGGGGAGTATACTGGAAATATTTTAATGAAGAACAGGAAAAATCCTGGGTAAAATACCTTTAGTAAAATATTGCATCTGATTGCCTATTATGTATCCTGTTCATTGAGGTGACTTTGCCTAAAACTACATTAAAAGGTGACTTGCTTCCTTATAAAGGTAGTAGACCATCTGTGTTTTCTACAAGGATTTTGCAAAACAAATCCAACTAAATTTGTACTCAAGTATCCTGTCTCTACCAGCCCTATTTCTTTATTCTGTGAATTAATAGTTTGCTAATCAGTCTTCCCATGGCACAGTTGTCACAAAGCCCAGTGGTGTCTGAGGCTTCTCCAGGACTATTGGCAAACAGGACTGGGATCAGTGACTCCTTTACAGTGGCTCTTACAAAGTAAATAGAGGTTCTGAATCATTAAACTGTGAGGTTCTGCCTGTTGTAACTTGTTAAAATACCTTGCAGTGTTCATGAATTTCTTTTCTTTTTTTGTTCTTTCAACAGAGATACAAGCTCGGAGTACGGCTATATTACAGAGTAATGGAGTCCATGCTGAAGTCGGTAAGTTTTATTACTAGTAGATCAGTACTGGTATTGCATTTTGGGATACTAAAAATATTCACAACTTCGATTTCGATAATGTATTTCAGGAAGAAGAACGTCTCTCAGTTCACAATTTTAGGTAAGTGCTCCTAACTGTAATCCAAGACGGCTATTCTAGTGCTAAGAGAAGTGTTAGTAACTTGTTTTTCTCCTCCCAGCAAACTTTTGAATGATAACATCTTCCACACATCTCTTCTGGCCTGCGCTGTTGAGGTTGTCATGGCTACGTATGGCAGTAAGTTAAATCACACTGAGGAACAGCACTGTTATTTACTGATGATTATTGCTATATATTGATATATAGAATAAGAAAAAGGGACTCAATAGAACTTCTAGTTTTGATTCAATAAATACAAAGGGAATAGAGAACTGTAGTGGACGAGCATTGTGTTTTGATAATTTTGTCTTTTCTGCAGGAAACGCCTCCCAAAACGATGGTACCAGCACTGAAACGGACTTGTCTTTTCCATGGATTCTCAACGTATTTGATTTAAAAGCTTTTGACTTCTACAAGGTGATTGAAAGTTTTATCAAAGCAGAGCCAAGCTTAACAAGGGACATGATAAAGCATCTAGAACGCTGTGAACATCGAATTATGGAATCTCTTGCTTGGCAATCAGTAAGTAATACTTTAAAATTGTATTTATCCTTTTCCAACATACATACCTAGAAAAGAAAAATTACACCCAGCTCTATAAAACAAATTGTAGTCTTACTAAGATTATTTCTAGTAAAATAATGAGAGCCAAACCAGATTAATTTTGCCTGTCTTCTGACTCTTTTTAATCTGAAGTCAGCAGAGCTCTGCTGATTTACATAATTGTAAACCAATGTATGAGTCTTGCATGGATCTTTTTAAGGGCATTACCTTTAAATAGTATTTTGTGCTAATGGGAAATAATTAACTTTCAAATACAAGTATAGAATTTTTTATCCTTCCTCACTTGGCATTAGGGCTGTAGTTCTGTGCATCTCATGTGGTCGTTAATGGTACTTAAAATATTGTTTTGCGTTATCCTTTGCACTTCAGTTACTTTGATGTTTTTGGTTGTCATTAAAGCAGATGCATGCTGGGAGGCCGTCGCATTCTTAGGCTGGTTCTCAGTATATCAAACATTGTTTCTCTGTTGTGAGTTACTTAGGAGCCAAAGATACGTGATTAATGCCATGAAGTAGGAGAATATAAAGGCTGTCAGTTTTGACAAGAGAGAATTAAAAGGACCGTTTAAGATCCCTTTTCACTTGGTCAAGTTTTGGGAGCTCCTAAGGAGCACAAGATACCATAGTTGATGTCAAGCTATATTTTTCCAATAATCTATGCTTGCTTTGCAAAGACTTTGTACTTGAAAGTTTACGCTTTAAAAGGATGGTATTCTATCACCTTTCTGGAGTTGTATTCCCAGATTCTGGGAATAGAGACAGTGTTGTCTGAGCAGCAGGATCTGCATATGCATTCAAATTTTTAAACTAGCTGCAGCATACAGGCCCCAGGGCTATATGAAAGCAGTGGTTATGCCTCAGGGAGCACGTGGCAGAAATCCTAACACCAGCTCTCACCAGTTTCCTCATCTAACAGGTATGTGTCAGGCTGCTTCCTGAATATGCCCTTTTCTGAAGACATCATTTCTGCTGTAGAATTAGGAATAGGACTTGTGTTTCCAGCTTCACATTCACCACCACAGTTTTGTATGTGCCTCAGACAGAACTTTTGATTCAGTGCTGCAGCTGCTCTGCCAGAGTGTCAGGTTTTCTGCTTTTTAATGCTTTGGCATGTTTGTTTTGACATCTTGGGAAATGGAGATAGCCTCTCTCTGTTGAAATGATGATTTCTTCATCATTTTGCCTTTTTTGAATAAAATTGCTCAAAGGTGCTAGAGGCTCATGGCCTTTTATCAATTTACTGTAACAGAAAATGAGGTAGTGTTTCAAGAAGCAGGCAAGCAACATTTAAAGACTGCTTATTTGCAGACTTTATCGGTCAGAGGACAAAGGCAGAAGTACAAATATCTGGGTTTCACCACGCACAAGCAAGAAGTGACCCCTGACACCTTCTGCAAGCTGATTTGAAGTCAGCGACAAGAAGTCAGCATCAGCAGCAAGGCACTTCTATTCCTTACCCAGGGATTCAAGCGCAGATCTGATTTGGACTTGGACTTTCAGACTGGAAGAGCTAGAGTTGTGTTTCCATTAATTATGGGTATAGTTGCAGGCTCCTGTGAAACAAGTCATAACTTTAACCACCAGCACAGGATTGTTTCGTGTTTTCTGAGGTCTCTATATGAATCATCAGGGTACTTTTTTAATGCATTAAAAAAAAAACCCTTCTTGCCTTGGAAGAAGTGTACATTTGGTGATATTTTTGAGGTGGCTTTATATAACTAATTTGAGTGGCTACCAGTAAGTGTTCGTAAAATAACCAGTATTTCAAAAAGCAGTTCATTTATTTATTTATTTCCCCCTTCCCACTATGTGCTTGAGTGTCATTTAAATGTAGGGGTTAAAGAGTTTTGGGTCAGTGAAGGGGCCCAATAGAGGAGGGAGTTTAAAAAAAAAATAATAATGTGCAGAGAACATATCCAAATGCTTTTTTGCTTCCTAGGCCTCGGTGTCTTGTCTCATCTGGATCTCTAAGAGCTGAGGATGTTAAGGCTGCAATTCCCTGGTGTTTCTGTTCCTTTTGGTTTAGAACTTCGTTGCCAGAGGACACAGTGCATCTCTTCAAATCTTGAGTGAAGCTGTTTCTGGCAACCAACCCCAAGCAGTTAGGGAGTGTGCAGGTACCCTGTGGTTCTGCAGTGGCCTCCCTTGCCTCCTGGTGGGACTTGTGCAGCTGCTTCCCTTTTGCCCAGTGACGAATGTGAAATTGGCAACAAAGTCTTAATTTCATAATAGAAATGTCCCCTTCAGAACAGGGAAAGCAGCCTGACATGTGCCTATTAGATCAGGAAATAAAGCGAGAAGAGGTAGCTGGCATTCAGAGTTCTGCCAGATCTTCCTTCTCATTTATTATTTCTCATTCATTTTGTAAAATTCCGGAATAAACCTCTTATAGCTTCATGATACCTGCAAGAATTAAGTGCTCTGAAGTTGTCAGCATGCTTTAAAGAGTGCTGTAAGCATCTGATAGTGCTGGAAAATAGAAGTATGCCTGAGCTGTTAGATATAACAGCTGCACAGAAGGGAAAGGCTGCAAGTTTTCCCAAGGTGGCTGAGGAGACTGGAAGCAGTCAGATGTCAGCGATGTTGAACAGTTTGCTGTGTATTTAGGTCACTGCAGAACCAGGCCTGTGCTCTGTAGGCTACACTTTTTTTTTTTTAAAAAAAAAATAAAAAAAAAGGAAGTAATTCTATGTCTATCATGGCTCACTTGCTGTTGCCTCTCATCTGCATATTGACTCTTCTGTTTGGAAAAGTGCAACTTCATTAGCAAAAGGAGGAACTGCCTCTGTGGCAGACTCTACTCCCTGGAACATTGTTCAAGCGTCCTAGAAAGGTTCAGCTAGTGAATGAAGGGCTGATGGATTGTATTGCTCTGCAGCTCCTTAGCTGGATATTGTCTCCATGTAGTGGTGTACAAGATTTAAAAAAGCATGCCCCCAGTTCCTTCAAGGGAAGAGGTAATTTGAAAAACATGGTTCATGCCAGTAAATATGTCTCATCACCAAGCACTCTAAAGGAGTAGAGGAAGGTCAGATGACATCTGCTTAGTTATAACTAATATCTTATCTTAAGTGATTGCTTAGGCTTAAATGTAAACAAACATCATAATAATAAAACAATCAGTGGAATTTCAGGAAGGTTGAAGTTTCCTTATATGCCTGGAGAATGCATTTTTTTGGGGGGAAAAAGTGCTCTGAAGGAAAGCATGGAATGAGATAAGCTTAAGCAACAAAAGTCTAGCTTGGTAAGTAAGAATAGCCTAGCACCAACTGGAAAATGTTTAGTTATTTCCAAAAAGTTGGACAATCCATCTCTGATACTGCCTGATGCACCGTGTGGTTCTGTTGAGTTCTTACCTCCTTTGACTGTCAAAACAAATTATTGCCCAGTTTGTCTACTCTTTGGCTACATATATCCAATCTTCTGTGATTCTACTGACTGCTTTTGGAAATAGGAGTACAACATGAGATTTTTAAATTGACTGAAAAAATAAATACAGAATAGGTAAATTGATGGTAGATTTGCTTGTTGCTGAGCCTTCATGAGGAGAAATACCTTACTGTTTATTTTTCTGAGGAAGAATTTTAGAGTACATCTGAGCTTTATCTGATTTTGGAAGCTGTATAGAATGAATGTGAAGAATTCTGTTTTTTAGTGGTGTTTGAAGATAATATATTGTTCCTTTGCTAGTCATTGCGAATATGTTTATTGCTTTTGCATAGCTAGCTGATTTAGTCATCTGTCCTTCAGGAAGGAGATAAAACTTTTCTAGGTCATCTTTTTTTAACAAAAGAAGTATAGCCAGGCAAAATAAAGAGTAGAAAAAAAATTAGAGTTTCTTATTGATACTGCTTAAAATTAGGAAGGGGCAAGCCTCCATACTGACCATTTTGTTTGGGAAAGGCTTTGCATCCTCAAATCTTTATTGTACCCTGAAGGATGTCCTGAAGGATGAAAACTTTTATCCACTCTAAATGTTATCTACAAAGGTGTTGATATTTCCAAATACAGTCACATAGACTCCAGTTTTGGATCTGTTACTAGTAATGTTATCTACAAAGGTGTTGATATTTTGAAATACAGTCACATAGACTCCAGTCTACAAAACTCCAGCCTTCAAGACTTCCAGCCTTTCTGCAGACTCCAGCCACAAAACTTCTATTAGTAAAACAGAAGCATACCCTACAACTCTTTAAGGATATATTTACATAAATATGATTGATTAAAATCTTGTTTCGCATAGATTGGAGATGACCTTGATCTGCCAGCCTGGGATTCATGCTCAGCCTTTTCCAGAATTGTTAGATCTCTCTTGCAGCCAGCTGAGAAAATTGGTCTTAATACCACAAATTAAGGTTGTGTGAATGAATTGCAGAAACTCCGAACTTCCTCAGAGAAAGCCCCCTCTGCCGCTGTGTCACATATTGCACTCGAACGTTGCTGTTTGCTGCGGTGTGTGTGAAAGCGCGTGTTTTTAGTGCGAGCGAAGCAAATGCAAGTCTGTCAGTTTTCATGATTTATCTGGAGTGAAACATCTACGTAATTTTTAATATCTGAAATGCATTTGTTTTCAGGGAATGACATGACTGAAATTACCTGTTAGATTTTTATCTACTTTATTGAATGATTCAACAACAACACAAAGCCAGGGAGGTTCTTTGTAGGTATCTACAACTCAGTGGTGGTATTTCCCAGATTCTCAGCTTGCACTTTGCTCATAAGCTGTCAGCAGGGAGGAACAGACTGGATGTTCCCCTGTATAGGGATGGACAGGGAATGTGGTTCCTGTAAATGCAGTGTCGTGTGTAGGGTAAATGTATTGCATGTACACATGGTTCAGAGCATATTTGATGTACTTAAACAGTACATGCTACATGGCTTTTGTAGCCACACTACAAAACACTGTTTCTGTAAGCCAGAGGCAAGACATGTAAAACATTTTTGCTCCTTTAAGCTTCA